GCTGACGTACAAAGTAGTGCAATATACCCTTGAGTTAATGACCGGAATGAAGACTTCAATGCTTCAAATCCCGGGATAAAACGACATGCAATCGACCTCTGGTGGACTCTATGCGCGTTCAAGTGTGATAACTCCTAAATTCTCCGTAAAACACCGTGCATATAGGGTAGAAAATAGTCAGCGTGGATTTTTGATTTCATTGCAATCTCGTCAGGCGAAATGAAGACACGTCGACAACTTTTGCGTCACACCGGCAAGTGAATACAGTCAAACCTTGTCAATACGGACACTGAAGGTGTCGCAGAAAGTGTCCGTATTAACGTGGTGTCTGTGTATTAAAAGGGGCTGTGTCACGGCAGTCCAGTTCATTTTGTTTAATTTTGCCAATTACTCGCCCTCAATCGCTATGGAACTTAAACTAAGCAAAGAAATTACATGAAAATGACAAAATCAGAGATCCGTGACAAACAAATATGTCTCCTGAGTAGTTTTGAAGTTGCAAGCAGCAGGGATCAACTTTGACAAACTGTTAGGCTGAACAGTTTTCAAAAACCGTAACTTTAATCCGTGTCAATCTTCTTCAGTTTTGCCCATCCGTGGCATTTGTTGTTTCTGTTATGTTATTTTAACCTTCCTTTAAAGTTTTAAGTAGTTATTTTTAGGTTTCTCTTAATTTAACGGGCAGTTTGTAATTTCCTAATTTGGCTGAATTTCGCCGTGACACTGCTCCTTTAAGCCGGTCATGTTATAAAAGTAAAACACCTTTTTATCAGAAGAAAATACTAAAAGAAAAAAACGAGGACATTAGCATCTTCAAATAAAACTTCTCTAGCCTTCATGAAGCCGTCATTCCGCGGACTAAATCCACGGAAACACTAAAAAGACACTCAACAATACCTCGCTCTGGATAACTCTTTTGATTCTGAAATAGTCTGAAATTGACGGCTACAATTCATCTTATCCGGTGTACTATATCGCTAGGAACATCGACATGATGACATGAGTGAGAGAAGCGAACGAGTGAGAGATACTTTCAGCACGAGAAGATAAAACTCGTATCCCCAAGCGGCCATGTAATGTTCTGTTCATTTTATAGATACTGATGAAATTCCTACATAAAGTGGTCACCTATCGCAAAATGCCTGTCACAATAATGTTATGAAACTCGGATATAAAGTTATAAAGGAGAAATAAAGACAATAATATTTATATTTTCTGTTCCAAAAAGTCAAAATTCTAATGAAGAAGAGAAAAATCATGTTAGTAACCATGGCGACACCAATATCCTCACACGTGAAAGATAAAAATAGTATCTTCACTGTGAGCGATGAGGAGATGATTTTTTAGTAAAAGGAAAAATCCTGGTATTTCATCAGTATCTATCGTAATTAAGAGGTGTCCGTAAGCGGATGTCCGTAAAGAGGATTCGACTGTAGTTCATTTTTCTTAGTTTTACAGAAGGTTACATAAGCCCAGCCGAGAGGCGACATCGGAGACAACATTGCACAAATTTCGGACACATGGGCAGGCGCAGACGAATGGTGCAACCTGGATGCAATGACTAAATTACATTCGACCAACCCTGATAATAGTACGTGAATGATTGTAGCATGAGCAGAATTTCGTTCGGTTTCTGCAACATTACGCGCAGTAAATCTTATCTTGTTTGTACCATTTTCAGCATCGCGTGCAATGACGCAACTCTTAATCTTTAGCCAATCGAATTTCACGGGATATTAAAAATCAACCGTTGCCTATTAACGCAGTCGTTCAACTTGACGCACTTGCCGCTCGGTTATACATATCACAAGACATATCGCAAGACCAATTTAACTCATTGTATTTGTCAAAGTCTAAACGCACACTCAAAGAAACTTCCAGGTACCGTATATCCTTGAGATGATCCTGAAGCATAAACCGCACGGAAACGCTTTCTACGCGTTCCCAACGCTTAAGCGCTTCATATCACGACATATCACTGTGTCATCTCCCTGAGGCAAAAGCCAACGAATTCGCTCGGAAAGGCGTGCTACGCAGGCTAACTTTTAGATATCCCTAAGCCATGCCCTTGAAGCATAATCATCCGGTTCTTGTAATGTCCAACCTCAACGTTCCATCAGGGGCGTATCTAAACCGGTTTCTCCGTTTAACGTAAATTGGTTAGATTCCTTGGAATAAGTGAATGCATTTCTTTAAATAGAAGTTAATTTCCAATCTATGGTATTAATACATTCGGGTCGCGGTGAACATAGTTTCTGACTGACACAGAGATTCCTCGGCGACTCAGAGACTCCATCCTGGGTAAAACCTCTTATTAGGTTATAATTTTTTTATCCTCAAAACTGACCTTCCCCTCTCATTTACACTTACGTGAATCATTGCTAAGTCTTTTCAAAATATTTTCTTGGTGTGCGGATGGGAGTAGTCACCAAATGACGTAATACAAAAGATTGAGAAGGCGCTGTACAATACCCATACCACAAAACAATAGCTGCCATGAGGCACGAAATTTTTGCGGGAGTTTATTTTTGCGGATTGGCGATTTTTTGTGTTTTGCGGGAACTAATTTTTGCGATTACGACAGATTGGTTTTTCTTGCTGGGAATTAATTTTTGCGATGTTCAGAAAGTGCCCAGTACACAGCATTGATAATATTTTAGTTTTTGTTGAATATGTGCATTAGAAATACATATTTTCAAACAACAAAACCAGTATTTCATTTTATACCGTTATGTTTCTTAATGAAAGAGACAAGTTGTGATTGAACAGACACGATTGTTTAGTACTGTATTCTTGTGTAGCGAATTCAAGTTGGAGAATATTTACTCTGGAGTAAATTTTTGGGGGAAAAATCTTTGCGGTAATTTTTATTTGCGGGAACTGATTTTTGCGGATCGCTGGAAAAATCGCAAAAATTAAAACCCGCAAAAATTTCGTGCCACACGGTAACTAACTTAGTTTCCGCAACGTCAAGAAACAACCAAAATTGGTAAAAGTTTCAGAAGAAAATAATTTGAGAGTGACGTTATCGGGAATCTCTCCCGAGGCGCAGGAACTGTAGTAGTCGATTTCCCGTACCGCCATACCAAGATACTTAATAGTAAATGAAAGCTAAGTGGTATCCCCTAAAAACTGTTCTCAGTGCTCAACCCTTATTACTGCAGTCACTGCTTAGCCCTTATTAGGGAGCTTAAGCAACAACGTTTTTGAGCGACGCACGTCAACCGGAAGTGGCCTTTTTTCATTTTTTGACGGTGGTTTCGCGCAAATTTTCAGTCAAATCGCCTCTATAACAGTAAAGAAGCTAAGGAATACAAATTTTATATCATCAAGGCATGTTAAGAGGGAAAATACCTCACTTTCGGTTGACGTGCGTCGCTCAAAAACGTCGCTGCTTAAGCTCCCTATTATAGCCTGTGAATACAGCCCGCCTCTCTCCTCGCTCCCCGCCTTTAGGGACGTCTCTGCTAGGAGTGTGGATAGACGGCTGTATTCGCGGGCTAATCTGACGTATCACCATAACCATAGGCCGTTTTTAACTCTAATCATTAGGGAACTTAAGCAACGACGAAGGTGACGGCAACGAGAACGGCAAAAAAGCAATAGGTTTAGATTTGCAAAACAACAACTTTGCTTATGCACGTGCATCACTCTTTTTTGTAAATTTCTTTGCCCTCTCTTCACCACTAATTTCACGTTTTGTCGAGGACGTGAACACAAGACGATTTTCTTTTTCTTTTCCTGAACTTTGATACAGTCTTTTAGAATTCAGTTCCAGAAACATTTGACGATCGAGAATTGAACGAGTTGGAATAAGTGCGATAAAGTTTGAAGTAGCGCGAATTCACTTTTTAAGTGACGTTTTCGTACCTGTCGCCGTCGTTGTTGCTTAAGCTCCCTATTATGGTCAATGCGCTCTCTCCTCTATAAGGAAATTGCTTTGTGTAGGTATCATAACGTGTCCAAAGTCAGTTTGGAACCAGCCAGGTCAGGGGATAGACTTGCCTACAAGTTGAGCTGAAAAGTTTCACAAGCGCGAAGCGCGAGCAGTAGAAATGAGAAGCGAAGGACTTTGAGTAAGTCTAGTCAGGGGACTGAAGGAACTGTAAATCAAAAAAATAACTCTCAAGCCTCCATCGGCGCTTTGTAATTAAATGACGTAATTAAATGAAGTACGTACGATTTAGGTAGCGGGGTGGGGGTAGGGGGTTGGGGCGGTCGCGGATTGCTCCCATATGAAAAGGGTTAATAATACTTGTGTTCGTGAAGGGCCTTATATAGCCAATTTTGGCATCACTTATGGTGTAAGTACAAGACGAAGCGCAGATACTTTTAAGCGCGCAAATATCACATTGATTAACCCCCGCTCCTTCTCTGCTTACGCAATCAAAATGGCTATCCCCCGGGGAAATATCCCTGTAATAAAGGAAAGCAGAGCTTCAGATGAAAAATGTATCAAAGAACTCAGCCTTTAACTGCCTAATGTATCTATAGTTGGTTTCTCACACAACAAAAATGAGTTATTACTGCTGGGTTCAGTTAAAGATATATCTAACTCGATTGACACAATTCATCTCTAAGCTAACATGTGTTAATTAAAGATCCCGAAAAAGAAAGCTGGTATACAAAATTTTCGCCTTTTATATTTTTGGCAAACCTATTTATCCTCATCTCGCTGTCTGCAACGAGCCTAATAATGTGATATATATCATGATAGCATCAGTTCGAAAAGGCCGTCAATAAAAAATATTAGTATAAAATCCTGCTCTTAAATAAAGCCTTCTTAAACATCTTGAAGACTTGTCGTCTTTCGCTTTTTAAACCCGCAAATAAATTGCTGGAAATACAAAGATTTCTAAACATGTAATTGGTTAATGTGTTTTCGGTAATTCCACATAAGTCTTAACGGTGTAGAGTACGGTACCTTCAAAAATTTTTGTCAGTAGTTTACAAGGTTTCATGGCCAATCTCTTAGGTAACTAAGAGAAAGTGATTGTAACTTATTCACCATTTTGTGTACAGACCCTGCGATGTCGACTCAGCTGAAATGCTTGAGAAAATGACTTACCACACCTTTCACAGAGAAATGGCTTTTCACCTGTATGCGTACGCACGTGGTTGTTTAAAGTCGTAGCCCCGCTGAACGCCCGCAAACAGTAACCACACTTGAATGGCTTTTCGCTTACGTGCACCACTGAGTGCATGCGCAGTTCTTTAGGTTGGGCAAAAGCCTCTTGGCAGTGTCCACATCTGTAGGGCTTACAGGGCATGCGCGAGCAGAGATGACTGTTTAAAAGGGAACGCTGCGTGAAAATGATTTTGCATTGGCCACATTTAAACTCGCCGTTCTCTCCATTGGTATCTATCACTTCGTCAAACAGTTTACGATGTCGGGTCAATTCATTTTTTCTTGTGTTGAGCTTTCTGCCGTTATCTGCCCTGTCGAGAGACGGTCGCACATTTGCCTCATTGTGGATCAGGGAGTCGCTGTCACTTTCTTGCTGATCTTTAAATCTCTTGTTGAGTCGTTGAATAGCGTCACTTTTGGGTTCATCGGATACTTCTTCAACCAGCGAACTGTGTAAAGATGATCTCCTTTTCTGTACGCGGCATGGCTTAAATCCATTGTCAACATCATGAAGGAGTTCTTGTTCCTCGCGCACTGATCCACTGACGAGAGAAGCAGCACGGATTGCAACCGGATGCTTTACCCTTGATACTCTCTCTAAGAAAAAAAGATAAGATTAATGTACACTATTCGAGCTTTATATTAAGTAGCAGGAGCGGCTTTACCAATTTTACTGCAACTTGACAAAGTCTTAATAATGCTCAAATTGTGAGTTCAGTCGACGGCTTGAAAAATTTCTGATGTGGATCTATTCACACTTGCACTGCTATTTAGATTCGGGGTCATTTTGGCTTGTACGTACAGTTTAACCGTGTCTATATCAAATATAGAGTGACAACACTGAATAACCGTGCACAGCCACTCCTTCCCCTGGCTGTATACTGGTTGTAACTGTTTTGGACATTACCCTTTTTTTCCGAAAACCTTATCGATGACTGAGATTCGCAAATATCTCCTTACATGTCCTCTAATATCATTCCTACCTGTAAAATGAAGTGGAGAACTCCTGTCCGCAATTCCAAAGGGTATTCCCATATGTTTGATATAGCTATCTTCGTACCAGACCAGAAGCTCGCAACCGCGGGGAATATCACGGAAAGCGCGGTAGAAAACATCTTTGTTATGTTGGAATGCGAGCAGGTTTTGCTCCTGCTTATGTCGCGCGCAGCGAATGAATCTCATCCAGCTGGAGGTATTCTTGTCACTACCATCAAGGAAATAAGCAAGTTTGCCTTTTTCGTAAATCTGAGAAAGAGAAAAAAGTCTCCTTTTCCTCTTGAACGCTAGAAATGGGTCTGAGTAGTGCTGTAGTGCTTGAGTCCATTATGGGCTACTTCCGCACGAAATTTAAGGTCCCGTTTGTTTGGGAAAACTTGTAACGGTTAGAAGGGTCACTCGCTTACCCGAGCTACCCTGGGCGAGACAACGTTTTCTACAGTTCTTAGGCGAACCGTTTAGATTAGAAACAAAAAGTTGGCTCGGCTAGAAGAGTAACCTCCCTAGCTTGCTCAGCACTCTTTTTCGATCGTCGGGTCGCGTTCTAGCCGGGCCTTCTTCATAAAAACACTTTGGCTCGCCCAGCTGGGTCAACTCGGTCAAGGTGAGACAATCAGAGCATACGTGAGGGTTGTTGCCTTGGGAAAGGGGTCAACTTTTTTCTAATTTTAACGCTCTCTAAGTTTTCTCGGCTGGGAGGGTGACCCTCTTTTTCGGGTCAACTTTTCTCGATATAAACGAGGCCTGAAGTCGTTGTCGGGAGCCTTTGATCTCCCCAACGCACAAATTTCGCCAGGGCAGTAATAGTGATAAACTATAGAAGAATTAAGGATCGCTTAGTGTCGTTGAGATTAACATAAATGAAAATGAACTGACAGACCTGAAAAAGCATGCTTTGTAGCATCCATGCCTCAAAAGTACATCCCTTCATATGCTTGAATATTATTGTCATTTAAAGATCAACAGTCTTACCTCCCACATGTGTGACGTGTTCATATCGACCGTGACGTCATCAGGACACACGCGCCTCCCTTCATAAGGACCAATCCACGTTCCCACGGGAATATGCTGTTTTGCGCAGACTCCAAAAACCGTTCCAGGTATACTCGATACGCATAAGGACACTTCATTCGGGAATGAAGCTATTGCATAGCTCAGATTGATACTTGCTTTCTCGGACTGCGCATGCGTGTTGTCAGTTTCAGTGGGGGGGTCACTGTTCTCCATCAGCTTAGTCACGGTCTTCGATCTCTGATCTTGCTGTGAACTTTCATCATTTACTAAAAATCATGATAATAAATGTGCTTATAATTACACTACTGTCAATATCATCATCATCATCAGGTCCTTCTCAATCCTCGGGCCCAGCCCTCTCCTTCGAACTCTGTCCTTTCCTACCGTGAAGCCTAACCTTAACTGCTGTTCACTAAGTGCTTTATGTATTATGAGAGTTGTCATTTGAAAGAGAAGCGATGAAGGCCGACTCAGGCCCGTTTAAAGACTTTTTAATGAATACACATGACAACCACTTTCTTTAGGAAACACCGTCGTCAACAAAGTAAGTTAATAAATAAGTACACATGTAAAAAATATATAATTGCACAGCTTCCCATGCTGTTTTAACAGTGAAATAAATACCATAATAAGTGGAATGATACACAAGAGAAGAAAGAAAAATCTTGAGCATGACTGGTCTAGTGTTGATTGCCCCTAGTTGTGAACTAGTAAGGTTCGGTTGCCGGCTACTGTGGTTTGCAAATTTAATTTTGAATATGAAACTTGATATGGCCACTTAAAAGAAATCTTAATAAACAACTAGACGGTACGTAACAGTTCTCTGCAAGCGAAGTTATTATGCAAATTGTAAGTAAGACCCAAGTTGTTGTGTTATTACTCATATTAGGGATCTTACGATACCACAGCGTGTAAACGTCATTGACGCGTTCTTATTCTTCGCGTTCTTCCAAACCTTTTAGCGATAACTCAACTCGTTCATGTATTTCAAAGTTAAGAAATTACGTTAAAGTCGTGGAGAGGGTTCCACGTCCGAAATCAGAAAGATACAGTAAAATTTGTCGTCTTTCCGTTCAAGTTTACTTAAAATTTTGGTTATTGAACCTCCCAGTTGTGCAGGGACAGCAAAGAAAGTTATTGTTTTGCATTCTTAGGTGGCGTTCACTCGGCACCGGAAGAATTTTCCACCGGTTGAAAATTCGTGCGTTTAGGTGTTCCGTTCACACGGTACCACCTTAACTGTACAAACATTTAGACCCCTAGCCGTTCAAAGTTCCGTATGAACGAGCGAAAATATTGAACGGACCGTGTGAACGAAGTGTCCGGTCAAATTTTTTAGCCGGTCATAACTTCTTTCGGTGCGGTGTGAAGGTATTCCTGAAGGTGCCTATTGTGTCAAACGTTGCCGTCATAGTTTCGTAACGAGTCTTGGGCGTTTCTAATCAGACTAGAATAACTTTTTATTCAAATTACCAAGCTTGCTCTTTATGTTCGTCTCGTGAGTGTTAACCATCTGTACTGAATTTTTGCCATACAGCACATATTGCAGAACTTGGCGAGTGATTTGCTCTTTTAAGTTAGGTGAAGAAACACCACTTTGAGACGAGATTTCCTCCATCTGAAAAAACAATGAACTTTATTTGAATGTCGATGTATTAAGCACGAAAGTACTAATTGAGGAAAATCAATTTTTAAGTATCCTACTGGAGAAAAGATCGCCATTTTACGTGGTCATTTGAGCCACCTTAAGGTCTAGCCGTTTGCAGGGCAATGGACTCCCTTCATTTCCTGGTTATTTTAACCCTGGTTATTTGTCTGGCCCTGGGAAACTAACTCAAGACCTCCCGCTCTACAGTCAAGCGCTCTTACCATCTAGTCCTAGCTAGTCCTGCCGCGGTTTGAAATATGTAGCCTACGGTTACATACATAACTTGAATAAAATGAAGAGAATGAAATATGTAACAAAAAAACAAAAGGGTGAGACACATGCCCTGTAAGATCTTACGTACAACCTATGATATATAGCTGCGCTCCCCCCCCCCTCCCCCCTCCCCGCGGTTGCTTGTTCGATATAAACAACACAAGAGGGTCTCAATGGGGTTAACCGATAGGCGTAAAACGGCCAAAAATTTAGCCGATAGCCGTAAAAATTAAAAAATTTTAACCGTTAGCCGTAAATAGCGTAAAAAAGAGTTAACCGTAAACTCACTTATGGTTGCGTTTTTTATTTCCCGGCTAGTGTGACTCCGTACGCACGTTAGGAGAAGCGCCTTTTAGGTGTTAACCAAGACCACTCTTGGGGAACTAATTTTTTCCATAGCAAAAGTGTGGTTTCTTGCTAGCGATTAATATTTGCAATTTTCGGGAGGCCGTGCCCTCGAAACACTAGTGAAACAACACGCAGAGATGTCACTGTTTATAAAACACGTTGCCGATAAACAACATTTCCCTGTTTTTCTCGGACGCTACGGTAGACATTGCCATGCCTAGTCCCTGTTCGGCGTCCTCCCACGTAATCTCGGTCAAGGCATTTCAGTGACGAACTCGCTCGGACCACATGACCCGAAAGGCATCAGCCGCGCGGAATAATGCGGCCTACGGAAAAGGCAACGGCAAGACAGTCGTTCTGTACAGTCCTTCGCTATCATTAAAAACACTGGACACGGGAATTTTGTTATTGGTCGTTTTCACACTAGACCTAGAACTGGATCATCCGTCTGAGACTAGCCTGTGTACAGTCGCGCTCTCCCCAGAGACACCCCTTCTCCGATTTTTTTCTGAGGGGAGGGGGCGGCTGTACACAGGCTATCCGGAACGGATAATCCTGTCTTCAAAAGTCAGGTGGATTGTTCATTCAAAATTAAAACTATTCCATTGCCAAATTAAGACGTATCACCTATCTGCTGCGAATCATCAAACGGATAACCCGTCTCACACGAATAATCCTTCTCTAGTGTCGCGCCCCAGCCTTGAGTTGGGCATTCGCGTGTCTGCTTTTGCTTTTTCACAAAGATTATTTTTAAATTGACTATTGACATTTCTATGCGTAAATAATAGCAGAAGTGCAATACTTTATAAAAAGTATGATCCATCAAATGTTAAAACTTTTCAAAAGAATTATAGCTTATTTCATCCCGAGATGATCCGAAGACCTTTATTTTGATTTAAAGATACAAAAAAATACAGGTTAAAGCGCCCATCACCTAAAAGTTATTATTTTCTTATCTAAAACTACACCTTATTAAAATAACTTCTGCGAAAAAATTTTGCGATTTCAACCAAAAACGATTTTTTAAATAATTTTTTTAAAACGTTCGATTAATTTGCCGCCATTTTTGCACACCATTCGCTTAGTCTTCTCTCGGAGTATGGCGTCATATGACGTACTTTAAGGAACACGTGACCTTATCGACAGGAAAACATTAAGAGTTCTGATAGGTTTTTCTTTTGGAGAAAAACTTTCTTCTCGCGAAGACATTTTGATTCAATCCTTACTTGTAATTTATCTTTTTTGTGTACCGCTGGGTATATGAAAGTTCCTTAATTTACGTCACCTGACGTCATATGTGAGCCTGCTAGTTTGCATGATCAGCGGCGCGGGTGTACCGCAAAAATGTAAACTTCAAAAATTGGTAAAAAAAATCACGTTTTGTTCACACCGCAAAATTTTTTTGGCAGAAAGTTATTTTAATAAGGTATAGTTTCAGATAAGAAAATATAAAATTTTAGGTGATGGGCACTTTAATTAATATTTAACTTTTTGAAACAAAAGAAGTTAATTTTTAACTTTTTCGTTAACCATAACTGAAAAAAATTAACCGATAGCCGTAAAAGAGCCAAAATTTTAGCCGATAACCGTAAAAGCCACCACCCCATTGAGACCCTCACACAAGTATTTACAACATCAGGAAAAAACAGACGATGTTTTGAGAATTTATACACATAAATAATTAGCACTAACCGTAATCCTAATAGTCATATCAAAGAATTGAGGAGTTGTTAATGGCTTTTTTTTTTCAATAGTTTCAGGTTATTTTCATCTTTGAATTCTTTTATCCATTTCTTAAATATTTTTGCTCCATAGTAGGCCAAAGCGCTCTAGCCAGCCTCAAGACCCCGTTTTTGTAAATCTGTCCTTTTTTAATAGTCTTTTCTGTTTGGTTTGGATCCGTTGAATTAAGTGTAAATCAGTAGTCAATGAGTCAAAAAATCATGAGTCTAGTACGCAATAAATTTGACTCTGTCGGATTTGCTGCCAATAACTGCTTTGATAAATACATGCAGTACACATAGTGACACACATAAACCTAATAGGCTTCAGATTCACTAGATTCACGTCGCAATCGTGCAGGGATGGGAAAGAAATGTACGGAAAAAGTGTGCCTCCCGGCCTTCCAAGATGTTGTTTTGCTACTATTGCTATTTTGACGTTGTCCTTGCCGTCGCTGTCGTCGATCGATCTTAAGGTCACTACAGTCGTTACTTATTCTCAGACATTAAAAAAAAAGAATCCACTTCTACAGTAAGAATGATAATAAAACTCAAGGAGGAAGATGAAACTGGATTTCTTTTTAGTTTCAGGTTTAACCAATTCCCTTTAAATGGCACACTTTTTCGGTTAAAACCTGCGCGCTATCTTGCATTTTGTGAAACATTATTTATCATACTAATGCGGTCTCAAAATAGATATCTTTATCCCACACAGGACAAACTTGCTATGAGTTGCACATCGCAGTATGTGATCACCTTACCTGAGCAAGAAAAGGGAGAAATTAGGTCTTGGTTCGTGATACTACTTCTACTTTTCGTTTCCTGAATAATTATTTAAAAATCTAATTATGATCTAAGGCCGCAAGGGTTATAAAGGAACCGACGACCAATTAAATGACTCCGCTATTTCGCAATCTCTAGATGTCTGTAACTTGTAGCTTCGAAAAATAAAATGATAATTAATGCAAGTTTGTCTGAGATATCCACCAAGACAGACTAGCTCATTGTCCTAGGAATATGTTATTTTTTGCTTAGTAAAAACGTGATTAATAACCGGTTTTTTGGAGGGAGAACCAACGGGGTGGTGGGTTCTATACTGATTACTTGAAATAGTATGATAAATAATGTGTTTTGGGGCTACAGTTTGTTTTCATTTTTCATTTTTCCGAAAACAGTTTTTTTTTTTTCAAGTAATGAAGTTAGTTTAGCACTTGTTACCGTTTCTCGAACAACCTGCCGGGAAAGCCATTTTACTTTCGCAACTTTGCATTTTTTGATCAAAGTTTTAATGCTTTTGACTAATGTAAAAAAACAACGAATTAACTGACGAAAGAAAATGGGTTGAGTTTTTGGCTATTACCGAATTACCATTTTTCAGATATTGATTATAGACAGCGGACAGACTTAAGCTAAGCACTGGAAATATAAAATGGGACTCATTTAGAATGTGGCCCAGGGCACTCGATCGAACTCAAAAATCGGTATTCCAAAGATGTAGGGATCTTAGTTTTGATGAGCTTTCAATGACTCATAGGAACACGTTCATAAGCAAAATAAGAATGTATTTTTAGCTATATAAATACGTTAAGTTTTAATATGTATAAGTTTTTATTAGTTTGCGGAGTCATGACGCTTTTGGGAAACAAAACCTCGGCATCTGTACATTGTGTGGTATGCCTTAGTTTTTGGCGATTTAAAGCATACTACAAATTGTCCGTTTACATCTTTAATAACCCACTAACTTGAAGGACACAAAGTGTGGCTAATCCTTCAATGGTTTTGTGACAAAGAAAAGAATCGGTCAGGCAAATAAACATCTCAAGCGAACACGTTTAGATGCAAAGTGTTTTCAGAAGAGTATATGTAAAGATGAACAAACATTAATTAAGACAAAAACGGACGCTTCTGTTGCTAACAAGGCGATCTGTGTGATGAAAATCAGTTCACGGTTGCGACATGACCAACTTGAAATCGAGCTGAAACACGCCGGGACACGCCCACGGTAACATATTGGCATAGGTAGACATGTTATTCTTGGTTAAAAGGATTTTCACTGGAACACATTGAAAAAGTGAATGAAGCCAAACAAACTAATACACTGCAGCTTAGGTAATGTAAGTTAATTATCCAATTTGCCTAAAAGACCTTTTGACTTTCACCAACAAAGGCCCACGACTGGAAAACACCATTTAAAAGCCGGAACAACAAATTCACCATTGAAAGATTTTGGGGCAGAAGTAAATGTGCGTAAAACATTTATATTTACTCTTGTGTTGATTTTATTTAAAAGTAAAAAACAACTTCTGCATCCAATTGGATGCCTTGAACAAAAGAACGTCTACTCACTGAGCCTACAAGGGACTTAAAGGGTGGAGTAGTCAGTCGAACGTACGTCAACCGATGACTTTGGATGGGGTTGAATCGTGTAGTTCAGCATTTTAACAACCATATTTACTTAACTACAAACAAAATGGTCCTTTAAATCACTATTCTATGAGGGAATCTTTAGGCAATTTGATTTGATGAAAAAGAATTCGAAATTGCGATGGTCAGACGACTTGAAAGAATGAATCGTGGTTATGAAATCTAACTACTTAACACTATGTTTCCCAAAAGATTAAAGGCAAATAA